TGAGAAAGCTTAATGATTCCTTTTTTATAAACAAATGATGTAACGTTCAAAACAAGAACAGAAGAAAAAACTAGATGACGACCCGCAGGCTCTAGGGTGAAAAATATCGGTAGAAAATCGAAACTATCGCGGAGGCACAAAAAATTTTTAACGCACGTCGAGAGTTTAAAGTTGAAGCGCGTGTGAACGAACAGGATAGGTTACAATATTTATGGCACGAGCTCATCATAGAAAATGGAAGATTGCATTTTCAGGGGGGAGGATTAAAGATATTTGCTACTGCTCGGTAAAGGGTGAGATGAAAAAGGGGGAGGGAATGGTTCCTCTTTTTCTAAAACCTTAATCAGAATATTTTTCTTAAATTACAGCATACACGAGCAGCTCGCTGGTTACACAGGGAAAAATTTTTGGAAGATTATTTTGCCTTGATGCTCATAATCTGAAAAAGGTAGGGGTTGAAAACTGAATGCAGTCAAGAAAGGATCAAGATGTAACTTAATATTTAGATTGTTCATTAGGAACAACTGCAGAGAGGATGCGCTGAACGCTGGCGACCGAGATGTCAGGGACCGGGCAGCGCGGGGTAGGTGGATAAACCCGTTCAAAAGAAGGTAAATTTCGATTTTCGCCCGAGATTGAATCATACGTACGTACATGTGGGTGTGTGCGCGACACGTTGTTCTGGTGAGTTTGTCGATCTCAATTTGAAAATCATCCACGAGATCAATAGATGTCCATCTAAGTTTAGGAAAAGTACCAACTCTTTTTCTTTCGAGGATTCCTCATTTGAAATCATTGTTAGTATTATCCGCGTTGAAATTATAACAATAACTATTCACACTTGGAGACATTATAGGTTTAAAGGTATCTAATCAGGCTTACAGTACTGTTCTATCCTTATTCTAAAACGTTGCATTAGCCATTTGAGAAAGTTGTTACCTTTTCCCGAGGCGCTTGCACAATTTTACAAAACTCGGGCTTCAGCGGCTTTGAGATGTCCGTATACGACCGTCCTTCTATGACTTCTGTATAATTTTCGAGGCAATTTAACTCGAAAGATTCGTGCCTCCTTGATCCAGGACGCTCACAATAAATTTATATTTTTTTATAAGATATGGAAAGACAAAAACCCTGCTTAATGTGTACATGTTTGTGAGATTGAACTAAGAACTTTTAGCTCTTGAAGTTTGACGACTTAAAATAAAATATCCATTTTTATAGTTTTCAAAAGAAGAAGTTTCATCTGAGATCAATTTTTCTTACTCTGAAATACAATTTATATAGTAAAAATATAAGCAGTCTTTTCAGATCATCCTCCGTAATACAATTTCGAACAATTTCGCTGACTCTAGGACTTTTCTTAACCTACAGAGACACATTTTTATAGCATAAATCCTTCAAAATCTCTAGTTTTCCTTCAATAACAGGTTATTGATGCAAATCTTCCTTTTAGTCTGGCTAAAGTTTCAATAAACATACGATCTTACAGATACGCTGTA